TGATACTAAACTCTGAGTACCGGCAGAAAAGGACTTGGTTGTGTCATTGCTGTGTGAGTATTGACTATTGTATTACTGCCTCTGTTCACTGGACATAGAGCACAATACCGTGACAGTCTGAAGATCTTAAAATACTGTCTAGGACTATACACAGAGGCAGTAGTAGCTTAGGTTCTACAAATGTGCTCAATACCTGATTTAGGCAGAGCGGTGTACCCAAAGGCACACAACTGTCTGATGATTGGTTCAGCCATGAAACTCTGAGTCACAACGGAGTTTGCCCAAGTTTTCATTGTGTGCCTTTGTAATAATATACCGGTAATTGTGTCTATGACCGGAACACCTTACACACACACACACACACACACACACACAGGTTTTGCTGCAGTGGAGCTTGCGCAATGTGTCTAATAATTAATGACTATGAGTTTCGATCTGTGGCCGGAATTTTAAAAAAAGCTACCAAATAATAATTCGCGAAATATAGCGACCAGAAAAGTGGAGTACAGCTGTAATGGGATTCTTCCTTGACTGACAGTCTGTAACAAAGTGTTTGTGCCTGGTCAAACCTTCCGACTCCCTACCAGCTCGAAGTAACGACTATGTCACAGTATGTGAATGTGTTACTTTACACACAGGTACTAGGTACATGTACCTAGTGTATGAGTACCTCGTGTTCACCAAACTGATGCACTGTCAATCTTCTCCCATCTCCTGTAGAATGCACACACTACTATCATGTTTCTGGAATGTCATTGTTTGCTGACGACACAGCTGCTTTGCGCCACTGTAAAACTGTCAAACAGCTTGAGTCAGAGTTGCAAGACGCGATAAATATGATTGTCACCTGGATGTCCAGTTGGAGGCTTCAGGCAAACGTTTCAAAAACCAAAGTACTGTTTCTAACAGATTCTGCCTCAATGTTTAAGTTCACCTTTCCCAATTCACCCACAGAAATTCAGACGGTAAAGGAGCACAAGCACCTAGGGGTAATGTTCGATTCATCCATGTCCTGGTCGGCTCATGTAGATTACATTTGTAATAAAGTCAGCCGTGCTCTTGGCTATATTAAAAGTCATTGTAAACATCTCTCTATTCCGTGCCGTTCCGCTATATATAAAATTTATCTCCTTCCATTGTTTGAATATGCTGCCACAGCCTGGTGTGGCCTAGCTAAGGTCTTATCCGATTCCATTGAAGTTCATCATAAGAAAGTTCTAAAAATTTTGTTCTCGAAGAAACCTTCCTTTCCCTCCAATGAGTTGTACTTATTAGCTCAGACTACTCCGTTAGAGCAACGCCGACTAACTTGCCTCTGTATATTGGTTCATCGAATTCTCTTGGGTTGTGTTCCTGAACATATAAAGCCTTATAACTGGTTTGTTTCGGGCCGCTCAACCAGAAACAAAGTGTCTCTTCCCAAGGCCAAGTCAACGCAATTCACAAGATCGCCATTCTTCCAGGGCTACTGTGCATGGCTACAACTTCCCGAATCAGTGAAGACTTCTGCATCATTGAAAGAATTTAAAGTGAATCTGAGGGCCTGCTGATGACTGAGTGCACCATAATAATAATACTTGCAAGTAAAAACTAATCAATATAGCTTTTCGGCTGTTTCCTTTTCATGGATATAATCTTCTCCTTCTTTTACCATGGTTGGCTATCACCCACATCTTCCCGTTTTGGCTGCCATCGGAAGCCATAAGATGTTGAATAAATAAATAAATATCATGCCATTGTACATAAAAAGTCTTTACTTACTTTGTTGCAGCAATGTATTTGTGACCTTGTACAAAAGGTTCCATGCTTTGCGGACACAAAATGGCAACTAACTGTTACTTTAACGTTTCGTTACTTTCTCCGAAGCAGTGGTAGGGTTTGAAGCGTCTCCTCTACAATATCCACTGTACTAGGTTTGGTAGTGAGGTATCTGTGACTTTCAGCACTTTTCAATGGCAATGGCGGGACCAAAGAGACCCGGCGACAACTTTTTTTACTTTCTCACTTCCTCAGGCTCTGCAGTGTCGCCTCCCACTGTCCCAGGTAGTAGGGAAATGCTGGCCAGTTCAGTTGCACAATCATGTACAGTATACAGTGGTCCCTCTATAATCCGGCACCATTTGTGCCACGGAAAATCTGCTGGATTAGGGAGGGTGCTGGATTAACAAATCTGATTTTCTGCTAGACCATGCATGAAGAGGACATTTTGGCTAATGAAAATAATTTAATTGTGCTGGTTTATCGAGGGTGCTGGATTAGAGACGGACGACTGTACTTGGTTCGCTGGTGTTTGCCATCACTGGGTCTGGGAACACTGAGCCGCCGCTCGTAGTCGTAGTTGAACTGAGAAGCACAATGTGTTGCATGTGCTACACATGAGTTACATGTATATGTGTTGTTTGTAATTATCATGCACAGTCATCTAGTGCCTTGCTATGCCATCGCATGACACTCCATCCATGTACGGCTTACCTGCACATGACACGCGTTCAAGATCAACCAACCTATGTGGTCTAGCTTGTCATCGTATTGTACACATCCGGTTCTGGATCCTTCTATCTTCTTCTACTGCTTCTAGCACCTTCCGTCCAGTTCTGATAATCTGGAGTGATTTGCATTTCTTTGTTCTTGTTGTTTATGTTCCCAAGAAGTGAAGTCAAAATAGAATGCTCTCGCATGTTGGGTGTGTGTGCTCGAGATAAGTAACAAAGTTCAAGGATCGAACTTTACACAATGTAGCTTGTGCTTGCTTACATGTACTGCTCGTTTTGCCGACCTGTCCGTAACAAACTTTACAAGTCCTGTGTGTTGTGTGCGCTCATATTATGTACAGTGCTGCTCACTGAAATCCAGTCGTGAGAGTCAAGTGGGCGCCGTGCACCTTTTCGCAGCCCAGTGTTCGCAGGTCTAGGGCTGTGCAACGCCCGGCGCGTACTTGAGAAACTTGACTGGATTTCATTAAGCAGTCCTGTAGTTAGAGCATTGAAAGCATAATTATTATACAGTCATGTAGTTTCCATGTTTTGTGTGCTAGTGAGACTAACATTATGACTGTTATGATGGGAGTGTGTGTGTGTGTGGGGGGCGGGGGGGGGGGGGGATCATTGTGAGGATGTGATTCTGGGCTGCAAACACGTGGGAGACAGAATATGGATTCCCGTATGTCACGTGATTGTCGCCTTGGAGTCGACCAATGACAGATCGAAAATACGTGAGCTGGAAAGCGTGATCACACACACAGGACCATGTACACAGAAACCTGTCCAGGACGACCGCTCAAGGGACCTTCAAAATGTGGTCTCTGTTGCCAGGTGGCCGGTCTCCTTGTCCAGTATCATTTGACTGGCAATAGCATCCATTGTGTCCTGGTTGCAGTGGTCTTCTAGGACAGGTGGTCGCCTTATCTCCGAGTGGTCGCCTTGACAGGTTTAACTGTACAACACTGATAGTGTCCAGAATGACAACAAAGAAGTACTAGTACTACTAGTGCACTGCTGACTATCTACTGACATGTGCCAAACTGAACTGATGTGCATGCCCCAGAGGCCGGAGAAGAATCGATTTGTACATGTAGTCCCCGTGGTCTGTAGTGTTGTAGTGTGCACGGCTCCTATCAAGTCAGGCCACTGTCTGTATACACTGCATACAGACTAGTGCGCACTCTAGTCTACATTGTAGGCTAAGCTGGCGGTAAAACATTTGGCCCAGAATCTGCGAAAACCAGGCTTAGGGTGAAATTTCACAAAATGACTTTTTCCCATTTTCAGCTTCTACTGGGCATGGGGGGTCAGGAAACAAAATATTACAGGTGTGGGTCGACTCATAGTGGTATTAAAAGCATCTCAAACACACCAGGGTATTGTGTTAAAAAATCCAAAAAAAAACACAAAATTGTTATCACAGGAAAGAAATGAAGAGAGATCCACCAGACTGAAGGAAGAGACATGGATGATTTTTGTTTAGGTGACATGACAAGGTAGGAATGTGGGGGCAGGCTTGATGTGGCCCCTTGGTGCTGCAGGCTGTAGTGGCCATGCACAGTTCTGCATGAATTATTTTGTTTGCTCCTCACTCAGCACATTCTGGGGCTGAATACATGTGCTGGCATGCTCTGGCGCTACACACCACAAGGAAACCCGACTCCAGTTGAGATGGCACCTTTTGAAGGGCGAATCTAGTACAACTGTTTAGAAACAAGCAAGAACACAGCCTTTCAAACTGTTCCACTGTTCATAGTAAGCGTATAGTGTGCTGGCGTGCTGCAGTATCTGCTTGGTGCTGACCAGCAAGTGAAATATCAGCACGCCGTACCGTGAATCCCTTGCAGTTAGCTGTCCAGCGAGGAAAGTCTCGAGTGGGGCCTCTCGATCTGCTCGCTCATTCGCCTGGCATTCAGTAGCACTTCATCGCCAAGGACTTCAATTCAAAACCGTTTTCACATTGCGCTTCAAGCCATTTTCCTCGTGAATTTGCTGCAAACGTATGAGCTCCGCTGCGCGCGTTCCCTTTGCGTGAGGCCCAGAAACAGCTAGTATCTCTGTACTTCGATTGGCTGGATCGATGTCGTCCAGGTTCTCCTCGCTATCGCCATCACGACTCTAACTGGAGACGATTTCTTCACCATATTCCGCAAGCAGCAGCTAGCGCAGAAATTTCGCCATCCCTGAGTGTAGGAAATGGAATCCGTTCGATCAGCTCAAAAACTCTTCGTTGTGACTAGAGCCAGTACTGAGGAGTAGCAGAGAATACTCTACCGGAAGCGCTTTGACTTCCCTGACTGCTGAAACCCTTCCTGCCATGACTGCTACTTCTTCAAACAAGCGAGATTCTCTTTGGTTCCACTTCACTGCACTCGATCGTCCACGCGACACAACCTTTTTACAAAACATCATTTTTCTCAAAAAAATGATTTTCACCCTAAGCCTGGTTTTCGCAGATTCTGGGCCATTTGTGGATGAATTAAAAATCATTTTTGCCCAGTAAATCGAATAGGCTTGGTG